AGCCCAGAGACCTTTCCTGGTTCGGCACTTCTATAGCTATCAGTCCATTGCTCTGTTGTATCACTGTTTGGACAAAAAATGTCAATCACGTCCATATTCTTAAGTTAATTTTCATTCTTATCCACGCTACTTGGGGCTGTCCCACCTCTCTTTCTGTGAATCTCTTTATCTCCATGACCAGATCCCAAATTCAACTCCCCAGTAGAAAATCACATATTTTGTATCCACCATTAACCAGCTGCCTTAGCCACCCCTTGCCCTTGCAATGAGGTCTTCATGTTGCTACTCATGGGATAGGTTAAGAAAAATACTGAAAAGAACTGGAATCTATCTCCATCATGGTGTTGTTTCTTTTAATGTTAGCAGTTTGTAAATATATATATAACTTATCAGCTGCTCCTCCTTTCCTCAAAGTATAAGCCCTATAAAATTTGGGAAATGTGTTTTGTTGACCAAAGTATGCTTGATGCTGTCCAGAGTAAACATGCTGAATGAATCTCTATGGAATATAGGAGTGAATGTAGAGGAAGAGGAACTTATTTAGGAAGGATTTTCACTCGCTCTAAAGAAGTGAAATGAAAGCAAACTTTGGTGGGTTTTGTCTAACTGTGGGCAAATTGGTATGGACTGAGAAATTCAATTAACTGTACCCATCAATTTTTGTCTTTGGGGAAGAGTCATGAGACTAAGACCCAGAATTCTTGGTCCCACCCCTTTTGTGGCATTAAAAAAAGCCCAAACTTGGCATATTATACTGACCAGATTTTTTTCTTTGTCTCAAAAAGGCTCAGCTGAACACTAGATTCTTCACCCAGTGCAACAATCAAAAACTCAGAAAACCTCAGCTGCCTCAGATGATGTCACAAAACCTTTAAGAATGCTCACTGCTGAGTTGGGCACAGGTCCAGCAGACACAATTCTTTCTGCCAGTTATTCAGGGTCTTTGACAGATTAGGTGGTCTTTTTTATTCTTCTTCATCTTCTTTTTTTTTTCCATCCTCTTAAAAGGCAGTTCAGTTTACCTCTAAGCAAGACATTAGCTCTGGCTACCCCAAATAACATTTTAATTGAAGTCTCAGTCCAAACAAATGCCTGGCCTCTTTATTAACCCCAACAGTGTAATTTTTCAACCTAAGGCTGATTCAGGGGGAAACTGTCTCACTTAAACTGCCATGCAATGGAACATGGCAGTTTTCCTCAATCAGTCTCTTTTCTGACCTTAATTTGAACCTTAATCTCTTTTAACCATGTTCTCTTTATTAGCTGCTCATAGCCGTGGCACAATACTAATTTTCCTGTTTTTAGACTATCAGTTTACAAAGGTATTTCACTCCTCCTTCTACCGCCAAATGTAACCATTAAGATTTCATGAACATTTCTGAGAGAAAAAAGTTAATACTTCTTCTTGCTTTTTGTTGTTGTTGTTGTTCTTGTTTTGGTTTAGTAATTTAAATAGCTGCTTTGCAAAATGTTCTGTAGAGTTTCAGATGGTTTATTCCTGAGGTATATAGGATTTATGTACCAAAACCCTTATATATTTAATTGTCATAAAAACCTAAAGAATCATTTAAGGTGATTATAAAGGATTTTTTTAATCAACAGACAGACCCACACCTATAAAATAAAGTAGAAAACTAAGGGCATTATCTGAATAATTCAGGCGAAAATAATGTATTTTCATTAGAAACCTCATCTTTTAGGAGAGACCTGTATTATCCAAATAATTGCCTCAATTCCTCTTCTTAATTTTTATACTTAAATAAAAACTGAGTAAAGACAGGAAAAAATATTTTTTTTCTTAATTATACCTTCCCATTTTTCACATTGGTCAAATGATCCAAAGTGAAAAGAAAAAAAGCACCCTTTTCAATAACAATGAAAAAAAAGTGTTTCTTTATTTGGAATCTACCTTAATACAGCAAAACTATGTAAGTAGAAAAATAGTGCTTATGATCATGTGCTCAATTAAATTTATAATAGGTTTTTGTACTTTTTGGCATTAGCCTGAAAGCATATTGGTTATTATTCTTTATGATCTAATTGGGGGCTTTGTATCTAGTTACCCCTCCATTCTCTGCTTAATACAATAGTTTGTTGATTGCAAAAATTACAATTCTGTGACTTTAAGGTCCTAGAACTAGGATTGTCATTGAAAGTTGGAGATTCAGCTCGGTGTTTGGGGCAGGGACCATGTGCCCCCTCTGTGTGAGGAGGTAGGCAGCTGGGAACAATTGTCTGTTCCCTGCGGTGTTCAGTGGCATTAGCAGCATGTTGGCATGGTAAACTTTGCCTTCCTTTCACTGGCTCAAACAATTAGTGGGATTGAATCAGAGTTCTCCTGGATCATAGTTTATTATATGTTATTAAATTCCATTATTCAAGAAGTTGCTGCTATGATGATAAAAACTTCTCAGCATCTCCCACAAAACCTCCATCTCCTTTCCCATGTGTTTTCTTTTCAGTTTATCATTTGCTTCTCTGATAGACAAGGTGTCTTTTTATTTCCTGTTGGTACTTATTTAAAGAGCTAAGAGCTAATTTGAAAATACATCTTTCAAAGGACAACAAAAATGAGATGTGAAAAAAATGGATGAAGATTCTTAATTAGTCCATTATTTGACACGCACGATTTAACATGGTATGCTTAGCATTGTGCATTCCCCAAAAGAACAAGGCTCTTTTTTTATCCCAAACTTTAACTCCCTCTCATTCATTATATCCCTTCTTGTCACTTTCCATTAGCTGATCATGACATCCTTTGCTGGAAGGGCGAGCAAGCAGATTACTTCCAAACTGGTGTAAGTGACACTCAAAAGACTGGCCTAAAGGAGCTTCTGTGATAGCAGCAAGCTCCTCGGGCCCTGGAGTTGGAGAATGTCACTTCAATAATATATTGGAGTCCATTGTCACATCATTTCTGCAGCAACTTGGCAACCATCCAGGAGTGGCAGGAATGGGTCTTCTGCTGCAACTCATGGGTGATAGTATCTAATGTTATTACTGTTGCTGATAATAACAACAACAACAACAACAACAATTTATATTGCCAGTCCAATCCTCCTAGCATCTTGCATTTTACGGATGAGGAAACTGAGGATCAAAGAGGTGAAATAAATTGTCCATGGTCACACAGCTGATAAGCAACAGAGCTAAGGGTTTCAGTGAGGTCCGGTGGATTCCAAACTCACATCTGTTCCTATTAGAGCAGCATGCTGACTTCTGGAAGACTTCAGCACATCTCCCTAAATCTGAAAGGGAAAGAAATGATCAAAAGACTAGTCGTTTTGATGCAAGTGTCACCAGGCAATTCTAAATGTGGCAGAAGATGATGGAATGAGACAGTCACGATCAAATACACATAGATAGATTGTGCTGACTAAGAAAAGAAGTGGAGAATCTGATGCTCTGATCAGATCAGTCCTGGAGAAATGAACCGTTCCTCATTCTGGCCCCCCACAATCCCTCCCCTACTCCCAATTGTCTGACCTGGGGAACAGATCCTTGGCCTTGGAATGGCATTGACTAGGAAAGAGACAGCAGCAGACTCTGTTCTGAACAGCACCAGCACTAATCCTAGGTACTATTCAGATCCTGACACGAACCTCTCGCCTTATATGGTTTTCTGCTCCTAAGAAAACCAAGTTTTCTTCATTCATGAAGTTTCTGTTTCTTTTTTCCATTAAGCAAGTTTAGTTTCCCAGTAACCTTTGAAAAGTTCTGATTATAAAATAGGGAATATGGAAATACAGAGTAATACATTGGATAAAATAAAAGTCACCTGTTATTCTATCACCAGGAGAAAGCAGCCTATGGTGTATATCTTTCTAGTCTTGGGTTCTACATACATATGCTGGGCAGTAAAATGTAGTGGTTATAGGGATAAACTCTGAAATCAGACTATCTGTATTTAAATCTAAACACTTCCTCTAGCAGTATGACCTAACCTCTCTGGCCTCCAGTTTTCTCATATGCACTGTACTTTCCTCCTATAATTGTTGTGACACTCAATGATCTAATGGATGTAAAGTAGCTAGGCCATGGGAATCCCTTATTGCACGTTAGCTACTGTTCCTTGTGTTTTGGTCCAGTGTTCTTGTCTTGATTGCTATTTCTGACTGTGCCCCAGCCTCCTTGATTCGAAGACCATGGATAACTTCATCCTCAGTGGTGATTCTGTTCCTTCTCAGTGCATTTGGTTTGATCAGCCCTCCCCTGACACTGCATCAGTGACTTTTCAGGTCTCAGTTCCTACCCATTTAAATGTAACTCTTAATGAAGCATTGACAGCATCTTACCTTATTTTTGTTCTTGTCTGCTGGACATATTTCTGCCTGGATGCCCTGCTTACTCAGCCTGGCACTAAGGCAAAACCTAAGCAGCCCTTCTTGTTCTCATCTATCTTGAGCTCCTTGAGGTTAGTGCAGATGGAGGCAAGATCAGGAGTTTGTGATCGCAGAGACACCAGCAGTATCAACCCCCAATCTTGGGCCTCTGGAATGTCAGTGACAAACTAGGTTCCAAGTTTATATAGGCAACATAAAGGCAAGTTTATTTGTTTAAACCATTTTAAACGTGAAAAAGAAGGTAATTATGAAGGATATTTCTTTATTATTTTCTTTAAAAATCCTCTGTTGGTAAGCTTATCTCTCAGAGACCTTTTCACCACTTAGTAAAAAATATCTGTCTATCTATCTATCTATCTGTCATCTGTCTATCTATCTACTTATGTATCTAATTTTTTAAAATGGGGAACTATGTGTGATGGGTGATTGGATGTCAGCAACAGTAATCGGGGTTGGGAGGCAGGGTGAATTACATTTAATGAAGCTGGAAGTTCACATGGACCTTTCAGACTTAAAAAAAAAATGTTGATTTTACATGCCAAAGTCTTGAAAGGGGCTTGACGGCTCACGGCTTTAGTGTGTTTTTCCAGATGGCAGATGCCATTTTGTGTTTTGCATAAACTGACTAAATTTGCTTGCTCTTTGTACTTATTTCAGAGAGAACCATTCTCTGCTTTCAATAGGACAGAAGAGCTCCTTGGCACTGCATGCCTCCGGGTCTGGTTGAGAGAGGAATGGCTAGGAGACTGTTCTGAGGATACGCAGACATCATCCAAAGCTTCCTACATTCAGATGAGGACAGAGGTTGGGCCAGAGCATGGCATGCTTGTTACCTAAGGACGGTTCTGACCATGTGAGCAAATCACAGAAGGTAAGCCATGCTGAAGAACTTACAATAGTTATATTTCCAGTTTGTCCATTTTTATCTCCATGGGTGACAAATAGGTTCATGATGCTCTTATTTCAATTACTTTATAGCTAGTTGTGTGATCCTGTAACTTAATTTCTCTGTGCCTCAATTTTACCTGAAAAAAAGAGAAAGATAATAGGACTTAGCTCTTAGGGTCATTGTTGATCTTTTCAAAAAACCAGCTCCTGGATTCATTGATTTTTTGGAGGGTTTTTTGTGTCTCTATCTCCTTCAGTTCTGCTCTGATCTTAGTTATTTCTTGCCT